TTCCCGTCTTCCATAACAAAAATAGTCTTTTTATCAATTCGCCATCTGTCTTGAATTTGTCTATACAAAAGCCAAGAGAAATTTGGGTTATTTTGCTTCAAAACTTCTATTGATTTTAAACACCAGTTACCACCACCACTCTGGTATAACAAATCTTTATATGTAAGTCCCTCTATTACCACTCCTTTAGTTATGGCTTGAAAAATATGTGAAGGTATCACCCAGAGTGGTAGCTTGGATATTAGATGAATGTTGATGTAGACTTACATAGTCTGCCCCTTAAACCCAATTCTCTATCATGAAAAATGAGATTCTGTACTATGTTTGTGGGTGTATTTGTGATCCAAAGAAATGGCATAGTTGTTTTAAGAAGTTGCAGATAAACTCAACATTTCTATCCCCACCCTGCAGTGCTCTGAATTACATGAAGGGCTGCACAGACATGCACACCCTCTTTCTCTGCCTTTATTCTATCATTGTACAGTGTTTTACACACACACACACACACACACACACACACACACACACATTTTTCTTAAGGGAAAATGACCATCCAAGAGACAAAATAGAGAAAGTGTACAGAGCAAGGCTTCTGGAATTCTTTCCAACCTATTTACCAGCATAGTCCTGGGAGGCATCTATTTTTCCTGCACAATTAAGTAACATATTAGATCTGCCTGCAAATGTATTCTACTTTCAGTGTATATTGCTTCACATTGGGTGTGTGTGTGCATGTGTGCACTAGAAAGCACAGGGCTGGTTGCATATGCTCCACTTTAGTCACATGATGATGAAAGGCTTAAAATGGGGCAGCTGGAAATATTTTGAGCTGCGTATCCAAATTGCCTCTCTCATAGAGGTCCACTTGGGAAATTCTTCCTAGAGCGTTATTCTCTGCAGCCCTCAGCTTGATCCAGACCATTTTTTTACCTCAGTCTTTCTTCTTCTGGGTTCCAAATCTCAAGTCTTTCTTTTTCTAAACCAAACTGGCCTCATTCCATTCTGTTTTGAGAAAATTATCCTGCTCATGGAGAGTTTCTTCAGTGTACCTCACATAATTTCTTTCTCGCTTTCTGTTGCTTTGGAAAGAATAAAATCTGCAGTTTGGTAACCAAAGAGAGCTAGGTAAAGGTCATGATAAAATCTGTACTTTATTAAATTTGATTTAGATAAGGGAATGTTCTAAATTATGTCCATCAAAACAAGTGAATTATTTTGCATAATTTTAGTGAGGTCGAAACAGCATCAGCATTGGGGTTAATTTATTTTATTTTTCTTTTTAAAAGAAGAATTGTCAGTTCTCTTTAAAAACCTTTGATATTAGGAAAGTTGAGAACTGTGATCAGTTGTCAAGGGATCACAACCTCACCTAAATATATTTCATTTGTCAGGACAAGGTTCTTGGGATGTTCCCTGTCAATTACTGTCATATTATCTTTAGGAACAGGATAAAATATGTATGTCTCACAACTCTTGAATGGGTCCTAATGTGCAATGTGCTTATCATGCTGGTATGAATTATGATCTCAGAATTAAATCTGAACTCAACAAGAGCTGAAGAGCTGGCCTTGATTCTTGGGAAAATGAAGTAGCTCAAACCTGTTGGACATGTTCAGATATCTAGAGACTTTGCCTTGAGTTTAGTGATGCCCATGTTGATACAGAACCCATGTGGCACAGTGTAGAGCATAGGTGTCAAACTCGCGACGTCACGTGACGTGTCATGATATATCGAGACTTTTTTCCCATTGCCGGCAATGGGGTGGGCGTGGTTTTGGCATGAGGTATCCGGCCCGCGGGCCAGCAGTTTCACACCCCGGTGTAGAGGCTTTTTCCCAGGCCAGTATAGGCTATTTTGGGAAATGGAAAGGAGAACTGGGACTACCTATAGCTTCCCACTGTAAGGAAAGGTACAACTATGAATTATAGGTAGCTGAAATTTTCAAGTCAGATTAGGAATGAAAGATTAAAAAATCACACAAACACAGACCATTACAAAAATGTGGCTGGTTTTATAGCATTGCTCTTAGCCAGGCAACAAGACTCCTATCTATAACCATAAAGTGGCTATAGATAATACTGGTGTAGCAGATCTGCAATGCTAATAGTCTGGAACAGTTATGAAAGATGTCACTGACTGGTACCACTAACTATTTTCTTTGACAGCTTGAAGAGCTCTGTCCTTCACTGATCCCACAAATAGATCTGTTTCAAAATTGATGAACAAGTGCAGCTAGAGGGATAGAGCAAGGAGACTTTAAAAGTAGGAATGCTGCCTGTTTCTTGGGAGTTACACTTACTGTTAATTGGAAAAAAATACAATGGGAAGGGTGCTTTGCTACCAATATGGATTCCAAATTTTAAATGAGCACTTTTAGTAATGAGATATAAATTAGCTTTAAAAGTTAGATGACAGGATTTCAAAATATTGATCGGCTGTTGAGATACGCAATGTTTGTTGAGATACAAACTCTTTTTTCAGAGTTTCAGCTAATCAGGATAATTTATTCCATTCTCTACAGGTAGAGGAGTAGAGAGAATAGAATAGGTTCCTGATCTGCTAAAACCTTGATAAAAGAGAATTTCACTACAATATTTTGTTGCAAGTCCCATTTCTAATAAGCAGTTTGTATGTAGACATTTAATGGTGGCGTGTTATAACCATTGTCCTTAAGAAAACCAAGGCTGAATTGTGTTTGTATACACATGGTAAATTATATCCATGTGCACAATCATCAGATGCAATCTACCGCAATTCTTGCATGAGGTTTTGGTGGAAATTTTGTGATTTGAGAAGTAGCCAGTAATTATATACTTCTGCACTGATTTATCTGTCAACTTCCTCTATCAAGTGCTTTAAAAAGCAATAGGAAAATATTTTGTTCAGATTAGCCTATTCAGAGGAGACTCTGCCTTCCTTGATTTCTGTTCCTGTTGTACACGTTGCAGACTACCTGCTTACATTTAAATGTATTATCCATGGATCCTTGCTCATTCATGATTAAAGTTAGATTGCCAGAAATCAATGGCCCAGGCAGATGTAGCATTGCTGTTTATGTCTACAATCGGCAGAGCTCTTTTTATGTGCACAATTCTTATGATGCCATCTTGATTTATTATTGTGAATGCTGAATTTCCATATATAGTCTGCTTGATTTGTATAGTTCCTTTTTTTTCTCTGTGTGGATTCTAGCTATTTAATATTTTACCTATTAATCCAAGCCTTCAAGTTTTGAGCTTCATCTTACATCACCATTAAGTTACCCTGGAGATCCTTGGAATGCTCACCCTCCTGCTATTTTTACAATTACATCTTTTAGGTAATGGTTAATGTTTTCCTTTCCACCCAGGACTCCTATAAAAATGTTTGGTATGTAGTTTTATTTGTTTGTTTTATTTAACTTTTTAAATTGAATTTAAATTTATACTGTATTTTAACGTACAGCTTATCCGTTAAGCCATTGTTAAAATTACTGACTGTAAACTGCTTGGCATGGTATGGCAAGGCAAAAGGAAATGGTATATGAATATACTAAATAAATAATAAAAGGACCTGAAGGTTGATGGGACTTAGTGTTTTCAAGATTAGAAACTGAATCAATGTACAGCCCAGTGTGTTACAACTTCATTGATCAGTAGATCAAAGTGATATGTTGCTAACCTCCTTTGTTTCCACTATCTTAATGCCAATGTCAAATTAGGAGTTCTCTTTTTAACCAGCTAATTACTTGGCTGTGAATTTAAAATATGGCACAGGGCCAGGTTAGCTGAAGGCCTGTCTCTCCCTAAGGACATCTGCCTGTCCTATCAGATCATATGGGGTGACTATGCTCCTAGTACCTTCTCTTAAATATTGCCACCTTATGGGATTTAGGAAGTGTAGCAGCAGCACCCTTTCAGTTGCAGCCTCTGCCTTCTGGAGCACGCTTCCCCTTGAAGTTTGGCAGGCTTCTACCCTCCTAGTCAAATAGCACTTAAGACTTTTCTTTCCCCCCAAGTGCTGGGACAGGGTGTGGTGGATAAGAGGATTTAATAAGTGGAAGTTTAACTTTGGTGCCAGATTTTTTTAATGTTTATGATTTTAATAAATATATGTATTATTTTGCTTTATTGTTGTTTTAATTGTTGACTGAGTGCCACCCAGAGTTTGATATAAGATAGGTGGAGAAAGAAAGAAGAAGGAAGGAAAAGAAAGAAAGAAAGAAAGAAAGAAAAAAAGAAAGAGAAAGAAAGAAAGAAAAAGAAAGAAAGAAAGAGAAAAAAAGAAAGAAAAAGAGAAAGAAAGAGAGAAAGAAAAAGAGAAAGAAAACTTGAGCAAAAAAATCTGTAAACCTTCATTTTTTTCTGGATGGCAGTTGGGAGGATTTTAACAGGTGTTCTTCACAACACTTAATAAAAATGGCATGTTGTCAGTACAAGAAGCGTAGGAGATTTCCTATTTTCTATGTCTCTCCAGAAACCTCTTTAGAATGATAGCGGCATTATTTCAATGTCATTCTTGAGGCAGATATATTTTTTTTAAGGCAGAGACTTCTTCTTTTTAGGAAGAGTTCTAGCATGTAACATAAAATTACAAAGAAAGAGCAAAATGACCTACAGCTGTCCCCACATGTAATGTAAAGGTTATTTGGAAGAGCTGCCATTGCTTTTCCCTTGCCTCTTTTACTTGGAGTTGAAAATTGTCTTAAGAAATTTCACCTCAACATTAGTTGAGAACAGTGCCAATTTGTTCTCAGTTCATCTGGGTTGAAGGTCTCGTTCTTGCAGTTAATCTTCCTGTTTTGGGGTGAGGGGCGGGAG